TTTTGAGAAAGGTCTTAGCAGCCCCGTCTCTGGCGTGGCCTCGACTGGCGATGGTAGAATATGGGTCAAGATTGCTGAGAAGGCTGCAGCCTCCATTGCAAGCTTGAGTCTCCTCGGCAGGCACTTGGAGCTCCTCTGCTTATGGGGTACTGCCCCCATGTTTGTCTACACACTCCCCTCCCGGGGAGAAACCCCAGAGAAGCTGTACCTCCTGTGCAGGGGCCGACTGCAGCATCAGATACCAGGGAGACAGTTCCTCGGTACCATCTGGTCCCTGTGACAGAGAAAACACTGTCCCTAGCCGAGAATGGACCCGGACTGGAGGGTGCTCTATCAGAGCTCAGATCAGTTCTGGAGGAGGGCGTGGGGAAGAGATTTATTTAAAAAACAAAAAACTGGTGGAGTAGGGTATGGTAATGCATGCTTCTAACCCCAGCAGGGCCAAGTGGAGGCAGGATCTTGAATCAAAAAGAGTTGAAGGGCTGGACAGTGGTGGACGCAGGCCTTTGATCCCAGCACTTGGGAGGCAGATCTCTGTTAGTTCAAGACTAGCATGGTCTACAAGAGCTAGTTTCTTGAAAAAACAAAAGCAACAACAACAAAGAGCTCAAAGCCAGCCTCAGCTACAGGAGAACCTGTTGCAAAAATAAACAAATAACAACAAAACTAAAAAACAACAACAACAAACAAAACACTGTAGACAGCACACCCACCTCCAGCCGGGACAGCTGGGATCTTCCATCTGTTGTCCACACTGTCCCCTTTGCCATCTTTAGTTCACCTCTGGGGTCTCAGTTTTCTTGTCTAGAAAGCAAGAGAAGTGGAGCCCATGACTACAAAGGAGCTTAGTTAGCCAGACCTGGGGTGAGCAACCTGAAGTCCCACCCCTGGGGAGGGGGCGGCGGTAGGGCTGCAAGTTTGAGCCTGCCTGGGCTACTTGGTCCTGTTCTGTCCCTAAAAAAGCAGGTTAATCTATTCAGGTCAAAGGTAAGAGAGGGCTTGCTTGCTGGTTGTCCGCCAGGGCCTGTCCCTCTAGGGGACAAGAAGGGTAACTGCAGCGACACTGATACTGGGGACCTGAAGAGGCAAGTGTTCCTAACTCAAGTCTGCCACTGCACAATCCCTTCCAGCCTGTGCAGCCCGTTAGTGTCTACTGTGATGGGGTAGACAAAGCTGGTCCTGGGTCTGCTGAGACCTCTCTCAGTGAGAGTCCTGGGCCAGACCTCAGCCCACAGTTGACAGAGGTGAAATAACTCTTTGAGCCTATTTGGCATGCAACAATGCTTCCTAGCTCTTACGGCTGAGAATTTCCAAGGTGTTTGGTTGTGTTCTTGAGAGAATGTGCCAAGAGAGGGGCCTGTTTCAGATGCAAAGTCTTCCATTGCTTTGCTGCAGCCGTAGTGGCTTGTCTGAATGCCCTGTACTTCAGCCTCGGCTGCCACTCAGCTGCTTCCTGGAAGCCAGATGCCTCCATTCCTAAGTTGAGATTTGCCTGCTGTTTCTGCCACGACGCCAACAGGGGCTCTTCCTGGGGTTGGCAGTCACACAAGAGGAGCTGGTAACTCAGTCTGATCTGGTGTGGGAGGTTGGGAGATTGTGGGAGTTGTCAGCAAGGCTAACATCCACAGATATGTTTTCTTCCCTGCTTATCAGTGTTTGTCCTGTCAACCCGGAATGTTGGCTCACAAACTGAACCTCCACTAAGTGTGGAGTTCAGGCAGGCCTACAGGAGATCTGCTCAGAGTCCTGAGGAATCTCTTTCCTCACCTAGGACAAAGTGTGTTAGGCCCTGGTCAGCGAAAGGATGCAGGGTGGTAAACAAAGTCACATGGGGCTTGGGAGGAGCACAGGGACCTGGGACCTAGTTTACCCTGCAGATGGCAGGCGTTTTCTGGAGAAGACAGCCAAAGCCAGGCTTGAGGTGCCTGCACCACCTGGAACCATGGTTGGGCAAGGGTCTGGACATTAAAGAACACACAGGACATGGGTTATTCTTGAAACAAGAATGCCAATTTTATTGTGTTCCAGGCAGCTTATATGGGGCTCTCCTTGAGTAATGGCCACATCGGGATTTTTCAGATGCAAGCCCACCAGAAACCACTCCCCTGCCATCAGGAACTCATGAGGGTCATGTGCTCAGAGCAGCTGCAAGCCTGCAAGCACAGGTAAACAAACCGTTCACTCCAGCAGGCAAGGGGTCATAGAAAATTCAGGGTTTGAGGGTCCACAGTCCCCAACACAGGCTTGTCTCTTTCTTTCTTTCTTTCTTTCCTTCCTTCTTTCTTTCTTTCTTTCTTTTTTTCTTTCTTTCTCTTTCCTTCCTTCCTCTTTTACTGGCTATGTAGATCAGGTTGGCCTCAAACTTGAGGAAATCCTTGCCCTCCCTCCTGAATATTGGAAATACATGTGCTCACAGCCATGCTTGGCTTTTTTTTTTCTAAATAGGGTCTTTTCTTTAAAAAATTATTTATTTATTATGTATACAGTATTCTGTCTGTGTGTATGCCTACAGGCTAGAAGAGGGCACCAGACCCCATTACAGATGGTTGTGAGCCACCATGTGATTGCTGGGAATTGAACTCAGGACCTTTGGAAGAGCAGGCAATGCTTTTAACCTCTGAGCTATTTCTCCAGCCCCCTTAAATAGGGTCTTGTTCAGCTTGGCCTTGCCATGTTTCTCCTTTAGCCTCTTTTCTTTCTATCTTTTTTTTTTTTTTTTGGTTTTTCGAGACAGGGTTTCTCTGTGGCTTTGGAGCCTGTCCTGGAACTAGCTCTGTAGACCAGGCTGGTCTCGAACTCACAGAGATCTGCCTGCCTCTGCCTCCCGAGTGCTGGGACCCCTCAGCCTCTTAAGCGCTAGGATTACAAGCATCCACCAGCACGTCTGTCGGAGGTGAGCGTTAAGGCTGAGTAAGGTGTAAGGCAAAGGGAGGGAGGGCCTGGCCAAAGGAAAAGTCTGAACAAGATGTGCAGATGAGAAGCCATGAACAACACTGTAGTAACTTAAGTACATGCATGGCTTTGGTGCAGGAAAGAATGGGAAAGTGACGGTGGTCTCACCTGGATGACCTCAACCTCACTATGTAGACCATGTTGTCCTCGAACTCGCAGAGATCTGCTTGCCTCTGCCTCCCAAGTGCTGGGATTAAAGGCAGGAGCTATCCTACCTGGCTTTGAAACATATTGCAAGATCTTCCTTTAGAAGTCAGTAAGGCTCAAGGAGATTAATGATAATTTGCCCAGATCCTACACCCAGCAAGCAGCGGACTACTAGACCTGCTTGACTGTAGAACACAGTGCTCCCCCCCAACTCCCTACCCCTTCCTAGGATCAAGACAGGGGGAAGCCACTTGGGCACAGATGCCAGGCCATTCCTGAGATGCTTCTTCTTGCCTTCAACATTCCTTTGTTATACTTTCCTATCTGGGCTGGCAGAGTCTGCAGCCTTCCTGCCTCAGACCAGCAACTTGTCTCTCCGCAATTATTTTCAGGTCTCCATGTCCCACAAAAAGGAAGGGGCCACCACAAGAGAGCCTGCTGGAAATTAATTTTATTTTTGAGATAGGGAGCGTGTCAACCATGCTTGCCTCGAACTCTGGATCTTCCTGCTTCAGCCTCCAGAGTGCTGGGACTACAGGCCAGTATGCCACCATGGTAGGCATGCCACCACACCCACCTGCAACCCATATCTACCGGTGGGGAGAGAAGGATTGCTTGGGTTTTGTTTGTTTGTTTTTCGTTGTTTTTAAGACAGGGTCTCCATGTGTAGACCGGACTGGCCTCGAACTCACAGATATCCACCTGCCTCTGCTTCCCAAGTACTTGCACCACCACAGGGAGAGGGGGACATGACTGAAACAAGGGCCATCCAATCCAGTCCCATTGTCCTGGGCATGGATTTGGTTCTGCCATTGCTTAAGTGCGGTTCACACCGACAGTGTGGATACATAGGTCTGTGGCCTACGTATTGGATGTTGTCCTGCCTTATGTCTTATTTAGGGGTTCAGTCAAGACACACCTGTTCCGATTGCCCCATGGACTCTAGTCAGTCTGAAGCCCAGAGTGGAAGAGCACATGCTAACACACAGGTGCAAGTCCATGGACCTCTTGTCTAAATTTTATTTTCACTGTTTTTTCTTCCCTCCGCATTTGCATGTGAAGCTGTCCCCGTGGCTTCAAGCTCTGTGAGGAACCTGGCCGGTCCTGGTAAATACAACGCGCCAGTTCCCTTCTGTCCAGTCAAGTCAAGAGGGAAGCCAAGGCCCGACTCATTGAGTACTTGGGGTTCAGGTACTTAGAGATGGTGTCTCCAGGAATCTTCATCATGGGCTTTTAAAAAAATCTCTATCTTCATGGGCCTAAGTAAAACAAAACAAAGCAAAAACAACACACACAACAACAACAACAATTCTATCTAACAAGTGAGAAAACTGAGACGCCCGGATTCAGAATTGTAATCTTGAGGATAGTGGTCCAGGTCTCTGTTTCGGACTCCAAAGCTCACACTGCTTGGTTGCTTCTGCAGCAGCCTTCAAAGGGCGGCTGGAAGGCGAGAGGAAACCTTTTCCTCAGATAGGTCTCGGATGCCTAAATCTTCCATCAGACCAATTAAATCACAGCCTCTGGGGTCGACGCAAACATCGGTGTCTTTCCGGACTCCCCATAGAGATTGTGAAAGCACGGGGAAGTGGGTGCTGCCCCGCGCTCTACTTTAACCGCCAGAGGCACTTAACCTCCAGAGTTCTGTTAAGGAAAGCAAAACCTAAACCCCAAGAGCTATTTCCCCTGCGCGCTCAGCGTCACGAGCTGGGGAGGGGCCCTGGTGGGGGTCCCTCGCCCGCTCGGCTCAGGTGTGGCGTGGCTGCAGGAAGTTACCCCCTTTGGTAGCCCGGAGCGCTGGGCGGTTGCGCCATCCAGTCCGGCTTTCGTAACAGCGAGACGGGGCTGTCAAAAGGAGCTTCTGCACCGGTTCCTCAAATGTTTCGCGGTTGCCAGGACGGTCCGCTGCTCCGCGTCACGTGCGAGTGGGAAGTCGCGGCCACACAGAGCTGAGCCGCGCCGGGCCGAGCGCTCGCTCGCAGTCGGAGCTGAGTGCGGAGCCCAAGGCGGACGGCTACAGCTCTCGGTGCCCCAGCCGTCCCCTCCCCCGGTCCCCCTCCCTTGGCCTCCTCCTCCAGTCCGGGTTGCCGAGCCGCCCGGCGCAGAAGGAAGCATGCTGGCCGTCGGCTGCGCGCTGCTGGCCGCCCTGCTGGCCGCGCCCGCGGTCGCGCTGGTCCTCGGGAGCTGCCGCCCGCTGGGTAAGACAATCTGGATCGGGCAGAGAGGGTGTGACATGGGCTCGTTCCGTGGGCAGCGAGAGCCCACGCGGACGCAGGGTGCCCGCCCGGGGCTGGCCCACCTGTGCGGACGCGGTGGTGGTTCGCGCGCCCCCTGCTGCGTCTAGCACCTTTGGCTGCCCGCTCCTGTCTGGGCAGTTGCCTAAAGTCTGACTGTGTACAGGACTGTGTTTTCCCGTAACCTGACTCTGGTGTCTGGTTCCCAGTGTCCCCATGTGTCTTACTCAGTTACATCCCGGGTCACTCCGAAGGGAGATACCCAAAGGGCGCGCCCTAGCGGAGTAGTAGTCCCTCTGGAGAGTTCTTTGTGCCACTAGCTCCGTCCTCTTTAGCTGTGGCACCTCGCTTGACTCTCAGTGCCACTGCTTGTCGTGTCGTGTGTATTGACAGTGACCTGATTGTGAAGGGTCTGACATCATGGGTCTGAGTCACGGGTGCTCCCGCCTCACTCCTTAGCCAGTACTAGCCCTGGCACGCAGAATGCCAACACCCACCCCCACCCCAATCCTGTGATTGGGACCTTTTGGAGCTGAGCACCCGCCCCGCCCCATCCCTTCCGGATAAGCGGGTAGACCAGGCACAGGGTAGGGCTCCGCTTCGTGGCACTCTGGCTCTAGGGTCTAGGCCTTTCTGTGGGCTCTGGCTTCAGGCCTAGTGGCCTGCCTGGTGTCTTCTGGAGGAACTGGTCGACTGTCTCTCTACTCGTTATTTTAGGGGCTGAGGACTTCTGCGAGGTGAGGACATGGAGTCAAGGGTCACTGGGGAGATTTCCACTGTGCTGTTTGTGGAGGACATATTGTTAGTTGGTTCTCTCTCTCTCCTCTCTGTCTCTCTCTCTGAAAGGCAGAACTTCACACATGCTCGGCTTGGCACCACTGCTTATGTTTTTTTCTTTCTTTTTAGGCCAGACTGGCCTCAAACTTGTGTCTCTCCTGTCTTCATCTCCTGAGTGCTGGGATTTAAAGGCATGTTACACCCCCACGCGGCTCTACACATATTTTTAATCCTCTACTGGATTGACATAAAGCTTTGAGAGGAGCCTGAGGTGCAGAAGGTGCGTCGGGAAGCTGTCAGGCCAGTTGTTGGATCCCCAGCCCTTCACGATTCAGCATTCCCTAGGTCCCTAATACTTCTCATTGTTGAGCTAGACCAGCAGACAGAGCTGAGGGCATTTGGGGAAAGCCGAGCAGCACTCTCATCTGGCGGGATTCTGGGGCAGAAGGCACAGATGGAAGAGAAGGTCCCCACTTGGCTTCTTGTCGTGCCAGGCAGGACTGAGGCCTTCTCTTGTGTCCTGGTCTTGGGAGAGCAGGATTGGGCCCCTCTGCCTGCCTCAGTTTCTATTTCCCCGCCCACCCCAGCACCATACCATTTCCCTTTGTTCCTGAGGAGTCACAAGGCACTTGGGGGCCCAAGTTGTTTTCCTGTGGTTTGGAAAGGACCCCCAAGAGTGGGGTATCTTCTGACCTGAACAGCCTTTAGGAGGCAGAACTGGGAGTCTGTGGAGGAAGTGAAAGCTCCCATCTCAGAAGGAAAACGCAGAGAAGTACCAGCCCGTCTCCCACACCCACACTTGCTCAGTACAGACCAGAGTGACAATCAAGAAACAAGCATCAAACAGGAAGTGTGGAGCAGATGACTGAGATGTTTGGCTTGGGAGAAGTGAGGCCAGCTGGGGCTGGCTCACAGGGGAAACCCATCGGTGGGATTCAGTCTCCCTGCTAGGGCCTGCCAGAACGCCTCAAGTGTTCTGCTACCTAGGTAAGGTCCTGGAGCACCTGGGATTGAGACTTCCGCTAGGTCAACATTTTAGGGACTGCTGGCTAAGGACAGTCTGGGTATGGGTGGCTTCAGTTCCCTTTCCTTCTGCAGGGCAGGAAAACACACAGCCGCATAGAGGCCTAAGTATCTAAGCCACCTCTCAACTTCTGAATTCCCTTTGGAATTCCTCTTTCTGTCCATAAAACCCACCTGCACTCCTATCAATGTTTTTTTCTGAAGAATACTATTTTTTCTAGCCTTGGATTTTGACTAGGAAGGATGAACTTTTGTAAAAATGACAATTAAAACTTTGTTGTTGTTATTGTTGTTGTTTTGGTGTTGTGAGGTAAGGTTTCTCTGTTGTATAACCCTGGCTGTCCTGGAACTCACTGTGTAGACCAGGCTAGCCCTGAATTCAGATATCCACCTGCATCTGCCTCTGCTTCCTGAGTGCTGGGATCAAAGTTGTGCACCACTATATGCAACCCAAAATGACGATTCTTGATCCTTGACCATTCATTGAGCTTGTATCAGAGTATCAGAGAGTAAGCTCTAGATTTTTAAAAATCAAACTGTTGCTCGTGATTCACTGCCAGGGTTGAGAACATTTGCCTACATGGTTGAAGAGCCGAGTAAAGGCTCTCCCTCCCTCAGAAGCCTCTCCCCACTTTGGCTCTCCCTCCCTCAGAAGCCTCTCCCCACTTTGGCTCTCCCCCCTGTTTATTCACTGATGCACACACTTTGGATTCCCTTTAAAGCCCTTGGGGACTATATGAGATCCGTCATTCAGACTCCACCCTAAAAGGATGCTGAACATGGCCAAGAGCAAATCCTGGAGAGAGATGGTTCAGTCTCTGACTTGAGCACTGGGTACCAACTCTCCAGGGACACTGTCTCAGGAGGCAGCTAGACAGTGGGACCATCTCTGACTGGGACCCTAGGGCAACAAGAGCCTGCCTGTTCTCTGCCTCATCTGACCCCCATCAGACTGTAAACAAGTGTGGCCCTTGCTATGTTACATAAGCAAAGTAACCCCAGAGTTCTGGCTGCAAACGCATGTTCCCTCCCTCTGCAGGCCTTTCATCTATCCCTGCAGGCCTGAGCGCCACAAACCCAGTCACCAGATTGAATCAAGGGCTAAAACTGTCTCAGATGGGCCAGTGGCCATTGGTAGCTATTACAGTCTAAGTTGATAGAAAAGTCAAATGGGCAGGTGGAATGGCTCAGTAGGAGAGAAAAGCACTTGCTAGCAAACCTGATGATCCAGGGACCCAGAAGGTAGCATTACTCCCAAGGGCTGTTTCGCTGGCTTCCACATGGGTACTGTGGCTTGCTAATGCACATAAACAAACAAACAAATGTAATTTTTTAAAAAGCTAATGTATAGTGGCATATTCCCCTAGGCCCGGTACTCAGGAGCCAGAGGCACGTGAATCTCTGTGAGTTTGAGGTCAGCCTGATCTACAAAAATTCAAGAAAGAGAAAAAGTGATCTCTAGATGTGCTTGATGGTACAATTCTAGCATATAGGAAGTTGATGCAAGAGGATTCCAAGTTCTAGTCTAGCCTAAGCTACAGAGACAGAAACGGGGGTGGGGTAGGGGGAGGATTCTTAAAATAAAAAACAAAACAGAACAAGCCTGGACTTCTTCACCACCACTCATTTTCAGTGCTGTGGTCAGCGGTGACCAGCATGGCTTTGCAGGGCTAGCGGTGGCCAGCATGGCTTTGGGGGGCTAGCGGAGGCCAGCGGTGGCCAGCATGGCTTTGGGGAGCCAGCGGAGGCTAGTGGTGGCCAGCATGGCTTTGGGGAGCTAGTGGTGGCCAGCATGGCTTTGCGGGACTAGCGGTGGGGCTGCTCATGAGCATACCCATAATCAAGGAAAGTGGACTGGACAGTGCGGGCTAGAGAGCTGTGCAGGGTCTTCCACAGCTCTCTGCTACTCTTGTCCTTCGGCCTTGACCCTGTCGCTCCTCCACTTGAGCTCTCTGTTTTTGTGATGGCCGAGGCTTTGGAGCCAGGCAGATGTCACCCCACGATAACTATATGTGGCTGTAAGGTTTGTTTATTTTTATTTTGTGTGTATGAGTGTTTTGACTGCTTTTTTATCTGTGTATACACGAGTGCCCTGATAGGCCAGAAGCGGGTGCTGGATCCCCTGTAGCTAGACTGACAGACAGTTGTGGGCCCTCTGGAAAGGTATCTAGTACTCTAAGCCACTGGACCGCCTCTTCGGCCCGAGACTTTGTGTTTTCATCTAGGAAAAATAAAGATAGGGAGATAGATAAAATTGGATTTGGAGAGGTCTGGAGGGATGCTCATCACTTAAGATCACTTGTTACTCTTGCAGAGGATCAGGGTTTGGTTCCCACCACCCACATGGTGGTTCATATTTATCTATAACTCCAGAATCCAGGGGATCCAGTGCCCTCTTCTGATCTTCTCAGGCACCAGGCATGTATACGGTGTGAATACATACACACAGGCAAAGCATTCATACATGTAAAATAAAATAAATCTTAAAAACAGTGAAAAATGGGTTGTAAACCTGGGTGTGTTGTGAATGCTTTCAACCCTAGCATGTAGGAGGCAGAGGCAAGGCCAGCTTGGTCTACACAGTGAAATCCTGTCTCAAAATGGCTTACAGACTTGGCCTGCAGGTTCTGTATCCTGACAACCCATGTTGAAGGTACCAGAGAGAGAAAAAACCTGTATGTTTAGGATGTACACAGACTTTTTCTCTCATTATTCTTTAAAGAACACACGATGCCCACTGTTGCCCTGGCATTTACACTGTATTAGGCAGTGTAAGCACTCGAGAAATGACGGGAAAATAAGAGTATGTGCCGGGCTACCCATAGTGACTGTGTCATTTTGTAGGTGGTCAAGAGCATCCTTGTGTTTTGGTATCTGGGAGGATGATGCTAAAACCAGTGGCAGTCCTGAGGACCACTGCTGCCTCGCAGGTGGCTATGAGGATTAAATGAGCTAAGTCAGGTGCTACACAGTGTCCAGAACAGTCTCTAGTACAGACTGAGTGCCCAAATGTGTGTGACTAAGGATCCATTTATTCTTGAATGTAGTTTGAATTCCTACTGAGTTGCAGTAACTATTATAAGAAGTAAGATAGAGCAGTGAACAAGACAGACAGAGCACTCCTGGCTCACTGGAGCAGCCTCCTGGCAGAGTGACACGGGATA